CGTGCAAGAGCGTTCTTGCAAAGCCTGCCTTGATGTGTGAGAATCCCGGCTCATCCTCGGCCAGCGTGAAGGCGAGACTGCTGGCGCACAGGCAGTGCCGGACTTGAGGCAGCCCTCCTTCATGCAAAATACTTCAAGACTCTTGGACTTGAATCAAAACCCCACACATCTTGATCCATTTTCATCGGAAAAACCGGCTAGGGTAGCCGATCTACACAGAAATTGTAGAAATTGTAGAGCTACCCGTTGAAAACGAGACCTGCAACACTACGATCTCCTCAACAAGTTGCTGAACAACTCCTTTGCTCGCTTTTCGTAAACTTACTTTACTCTGCTGCACAGCGGTGCAAGTGCCGGCACCATTCATCCATGCCGGTACAGTGTCGTCTACAGGACAAAGCCGGAGGAGCATGAACAGCATTTTTTTTATTGCCTTGTACTCAGTAGTTGTTACAGGATATTTTCTTTTAAGCATGTACAGCACCTCCGAGCCAGCCCCGACAAGAAGCCACCTCGGTGTGCTCACGCTGTGCGGTGCTGGGCTCAGCTCGTGTTTCTGCTGCTGGTATCGCCGAACTGTCCAATCTCGGCGTTCACCATAGGCAGCTGGGACCAATTCCTGCGCTCAAGAGCCTGTAGCCAGTCCCGTCCTATGTGAAGCAGATGGAGCGCAGTGGTGAGTCCGCGGCCAATCTGTCCCCAAAGCTGTCCCCCGAACGGATCGCTACTCACTCACTCTTGGATTTGCCTCCTGTCACCCAAGCACTCCTTATCAACTCCCACCCCCATTACGACCATCAGAATGGACGCCTGCCTGCAAAAGTTCGAGACGAGCATGGGGTCCGCGCCGACCACGCCCACCTCGTCCGAGCAAGTCACAACTCGCCGCGTTGCGCACTGGGACAGCAAGCGCGAGAAGTGCAATAACTGCGAGCTCATCTACCTCAAGACACTGAGCCAGCACGCGGGCTTCTGCTCCGTGGACTGCAAGTCCAACATGGTATATCTCCAGAAGGTTAACCGTACCATCCGCGCCATGAAGGACGCGGTCGATGAACGCCAACGCGTACAAGAGCAAGAGGTTCGCGAGGAACCAGTGACGCAACAAGAGCCACAGCCGGTCGAGGTCGAGCAACAGTCTGCTGCCAAGATGCAGCCCGTGGCCTCCCCCAAGACCGACGTTGCTGCCCCCGAACCTGTGCACAGCTTGAAGCATGCGCAGTCGTTTGCTGAGTTTGGTCTTGAAACTCGCGTGCTGGACGCCAGCAATGTCGAATGGTCTTTCAGCGCCGTGTACTAAAAAACTGAGAGCCAATTGTAAATTTAGAGCCTCACGATAGAGTTGTAACGTGAGATGTAGAAAAGTCTGAAGCTTATAAGCTGCATTTATAAACATAGATTGCTTTTTTTTTCATCCAGCTACATTCTCCTTTCGCGTCGAATAGAGACGGTCGATGTGCTGCGTCAATACATACCTATCTCCTCCAGGTTGGTATCTGGTAGGGAGAGAGAAAACAAGGTCTCGCTGCATCCTGACTGGTGTCGAACACCTTACATCATGCTAAGGTGAGTGCTCTACATGCACAAGATCTTACTTTGTGAATACGCGTATTAATCCGCAATCGCAACTACTACATAGCTGCGACTCGCAGTGCAAGGCCATTAATAGAATACATTCGGTGTCAATGAGCAGGGCGCTGGAGTAGCTCGCCGCCACGTGGATGCATCACATTACCAACGTAGGAATTGGAGACAAGTGGGATAACCGTAAGTGTGCAGTTGACTCTGTACCATGATATAAGTAAAACCTTTTGCTTCTTGTTTTGTACAAAACGCTGAAGTTTATTTTTTTTTAATGAATTTTTTTGCAGTGCAGGTGCAATCAATTTCACTCGATATTTTGTTCAGGACAAGTGTCGATCACGATAGTTCCCTGTCCGGCCGTCCCACATAATCGCGACCCGTAAATTTTTGACACCACGCCATTGATG